GATCTACTCTAAATTTTGAAGCAAGAGTGGGAGAAAATCCCACAATCTAAAATTGACGAGATGATTCTCACGATACCCCAAAAGATCAACGAACTCCACAAAGCAAAAGGAAGATCTACTAGATATTAATTAGATTATAAATATATAAATTCATGTGAATATGACTGAAAAATTTCATTTTTTCTGAAAAGGTGGTGTCTGTTTATTTGTGACCACGCTGTGTAGTGTTGTATTAAATTAAAAGTATTGCTTACAATGTGGGTATAGTGAATTAATAGCCTTGAGTTGTATATTTTATATGCTACTGTTAGTATAGTGTTGTATTAAGTGAAAGTATTGCTTACAATGTGGGTATAGTGAATTAATAGACCTGAGTTGTATATTTATATGCTACTGTTAGTATAGTGTTGTATTAAGTGAAAGTATTGCGAACAACAAGGGTATAGTGAACTAATAGACCTGAGTTGTATATGTTTTATGCTACTGTTAGTATAGTGTTGTATTAAGTGAAAGTATTGCTAACAATGAGGGTATAGTGAACTAATAGACCTGAGTTGTATATTTTATATGCTACTGTTAGTATAGTGTTGTATTAAGTGAAAGTATTGCTAACATCAAGGGTATAGTGAACTAATAGATCTGAGTTGTATATTTTATATGCTACTGTTAGTATAGTGTTGTATTAAGTGAAAGTATTACTAACAATGAGGGTATAGTGAACTAATAGACCTGAGTTGTATATTTTATAAGCTACTGTTAGTAGTGTTAATGAAAGTATTGCTAACAGCAAGGGTATTCTCATTTAATAGATCAGTGCAGTCTAATCATTATAAATAAAAATTGTACTTTAAACTAAATGTTTACTGGATTTTAGTTCTATGTGGGTAGCTTTCTTTGTTCAGAGTTAATTGTGTTAGACATGTATGTAGCATTTGTAATTATTTTTACCGGATTTGTTTTATCAATTAAAGTTGTGTTTGTCCAACTTGTTATACATACATACACATACGTACACACACATACATATATACATGCATGCACGCATACATACACACACACACACACACACACACAAATTGTATAATAATAAGTATAAGACCATTAGAATAATCACCAATATGACCATCCTTGTAACCACCATGTAACAGAAATATAAGTGATCAACTTTAATACTAACTGTAGCAACCTTGGTCAATGTGACCAGCCTTTACCACCATGTAACAGAAATATAAGTGATCAACTTTAATACTAACTGTAGCAACCTTGGTCAATGTGACCAGCCTTTACGACCATGTAACAAAAATACAAGTTAGCAACCCTATCACTATCTGTAGCAACCTTGGTCAATGTAACCAACCTTAACCACCATGTAACTGAAATATAAGGAATGATCTACCTTAATACTAACTGTAGCAACCTTGGTCAATGTGACCAACCTTATAACCACCATGTAACAAAAATATAAGTGATAAACCTTAACACTAACTGTATCAACCTTGGTCCATTTGACCAACCTTATAACCACCATGTAACTGAAATATAAGTGATCCACCTTAATACTAACTGTATCAACCTTGGTCCATTTGACCAACCTTATAACCACCATGTAACTGAAATATAAGTGATCCACCTTAATACTAACTGTAGCAACCTTGGTCAATGTGATCAACCTTGTAACCACCATGTAACAAAAATATAAGTGATCCACCTTAATACTTAACTGTAGCAACCTTGGTCAATGTGACCAACCTTGTAACCAGTATGCATGCTTGAGTTGCAGAAGCACAATTTGTACTGCTGAGAACATATTAAAGACTATTTTGTTTAATTACTTTATTTTATATTTTCTAATCTAGTGTTTAGTTTTTACATTTTAGTTTCTTTAGTGACAATAATTAAATATATATATAAGAAATTTAATACATCTTAAATTGTCTCTTTCTAGCTTTTTTTTTGCACTTGTGTTCTTCGCAGTATGATAGAAGTTATATTTCTAGGCCTAACTTTTATCAATGATAATGTGGTCTTAGAAATTATGTTTCTGAAACAAAGTTAGCTCTTTCACACTTTAGCTTTATTCCAACTAAAGGTTTGGTAAAGTGTGAGAGGAGGTATCATCGGAAATACATTTTTGGTAGAGGAAAACTTAAACTTCTCTAATTCAAATATGTAATTTAGAATACAAAGTATTCCCATGATTATGAAACAGAATGTCTTAACAGTAATAGAATTTATCTGGATATCTAACTAAGCTACAAATGGGTTAAATAATTCATATACTTGGTCCAGCATTTAACTGTTTAAAACTTGTTACCTCAGTGGTTCCAGTTCATATCTCATTCACTAAATTGAAATCTTGTCTTTCTATTGGTTAGAAGTCATCCAATAAGAAATGTCAAATAGAATTATTAAAATTTTTTTGAAAACAAGTTGTACATAGGGGAGTGTGGAATGTTGACTTCAATTTATTGTACATATATTTATGGAAAGAAAAACGATTTGATGCTAAAAATTAATAGTTTAGCTCAGGAGAATGTATAGTATATGTGTGAAATTCTCTGGCTAGCTAGAGGTCATATAGGGGTAGAAGTAATTCTAAAATGGACAACTTGGAGACAAAAAGTGTCACATGACACAAACAAAAAAAGATTGAAAATCACTATGTTTCAATACCAAGTTTATCATTGATAACAAAGTAGTTTGATTAAATTTTAAATAACACCCTGTATAATAGAAGGTTGTGGAATACTCACTTTGAGTTACCCACATCAAGAGGGTTCAACGTATATGTTCTAGGTTTCATGAAGAGTGTTATTGTCAAGGTTTAATTAAGGGTAAGATATGTAACAAGTTTAATTAACCCTTTCCTTTACCTTCTTTTTTTTATAAGTTTTTCAAACAAACATATTTTTTATTTTATTTTTTTTTCAAAAGTATACATATAGACAAAGTGAAACACAAAATATTTCTCATACTTCATCAATTTTATTATATAAAAAAATGAATGATATAGCTTTTACTATAAACCCTAGATATACCTTATACACAGAAAACACAATTACATAACAATAAAACAATATAAGTAAAAATACAAGCTATCAGAAAAATATATAGTCTATAACATATTCAACTACATGTTTGTCATAGTATGGTAGATAGTCTATGATATATTCAACTGGATGTTTGTTGTAGTATGGTAGATAGTCTGTAACATATTCAATTAGATGTTTGTTGTAGTATGGTAGATAATCTGTAACACATTCAACTAGATGTTTGTTGTAATATGTTAGATAGTCTATAATATATTCAATTAGATGTTTGTTGTAGTGTGGTAGATAGTCTATAACACAGTCAACTAGATGTTTGTTGTAGTGTGGTATATAGTCTATAATATATTCAACTAGATGTTTGTTGTAGTGTGGTAGATAATCTGTAACACATTCAACTAGATGTTTGTTGTAATATGTTAGATAGTCTATAATATATTCAATTAGATGTTTGTTGTAGTGTGGTAGATAGTCTATAATATAGTCAACTAGATGTTTGTTGTAGTGTGGTAGATAGTCTATAATATATTCAGTTAGATTTTTCTTGTAGTATGGTAGATAGTCTATAATATATTCAATTAGATATTTGTTGTACTGTGGGAGATAGTCTATAATATATTCAATTAGATGTTTCTTGTAGTGTGGTAGATAGTCTATAATATATTCATTTAGATGTTTCTGGTAGTGTGGTAGATAGTCTATAATATATTCAATTAGATTTTTCTTGTAGTATGGTAGATAGTCTATAATATATTCAATTAGATTTTTCTTGTAGTATGGTAGATAGTCTATAACACAGTCAATTAGATGTTTCTTGTAGTGTGGTAGATAGTCTATAACACAGTCAATTAGATGTTTCTTGTAGTGTGGTACATAGTATGTACCACATTCAACTAGATGTTTCCTTTAATATGTTAGATAGTCTGTAACTTATTCAATTGGATGTTTCTTGTAGTGTGGTAGATAGTCTGTAATATATTCAACTAGATGTTTCTTGTAGTGTGGTACATAGTCTATAACACATTTAACTAGATGTTTCTTGTAGTTTGGTATATAATTTGTAACACCATTAACTAGATGTTTCCTTTAATATGTTAGATAGTCTGTAACTTATTCAATTGGATGTTTCTTGTAGTGTGGTAGATAGTCTGTAACATATTCAACTAGATGTTTCTTGTAGTTTGGTATATAATTTGTAACACCATTAACTAGATGTTTCCTTTAATATGTTAGATAGTCTGTAACTTATTCAATTGGATGTTTCTTGTAGTGTGGTAGATAGTCTGTAATATATTCAACTAGATGTTTCTTGTAGTGTGGTAGATAGTCTATAATATATTCAACTAGATGTTTCTTGTAGTGTGGTAGATAGTCTATAACATATTCAACTAGATGTTTCTTGTAGTTTGGTATATAATTTGTAACACCATTAACTAGATGTTTGTTGTAATATGGTAGATAGTGTGTAATACAGTCAACTATATGTTTGTTATAGTGTGGTAGATAGTCTAACACATTCAACTAGTATTTTGTAATGTAGTCTGTAACACATTTAACGTCAGGATTTTTCTGAGTTAATGTTGTATCTTTGTGTTGTATACCTGTTTTGTATTTCACATTATCTAGAATATTATAATTTTAATATTACTTTTCACCTTGATATGTATTAAAACCTGTTTATGTCAGTTGGTATATTGAATCATCATTCGCTCAGTCTCAAAATAAGTTGTTCCTGACAGGTGCTCATCAGACACATATTGTATTAGGGTCTAGTAGCTCTGCACAGACAAGCAAACTCAGAGTTTTCAATAGCAGTCATCCTGTCACCATGGTGGCAAATGGTACAACCAGCAATGGTCGTCATTTTGATAACACCTGGCAAAATACTGGAAACCATGGTAAAAGTCATTTCTTTAATTAAAAAATAAAATTTTTATTTGTTTACCAAACTCTAGTTGTATAGTTCATAGTGAAAATTCCCTTCTACATGCTGTTTTCTTATATTAACCATAACGATTTTAGAGTAACTTGTGTGCTTCTAATGGGATTTTGTATATTAGAAGTATATTATTAGAATTTTGTATATTAGAGGTATATGATTAGAATTTTGCATGTTAGAAGTATATGTTCAGAAGTTTCTGTGTTAGAAGTATATGTTTAGAATTGTGTATGTTAGATGTATATCTTTAGAATTTTGTATGTTAGAAGTATATGTTTAGAATTTTGTATGTTAGAAGAATATGTTTAGAATTTTTTGTGTTAGAAGTATATGTTTAGAATTTTTTGTGTTAGAAGTATATGTTTAGAATTTTTTGTGTTAGAAGTATATGTTTAGAATTTTTTGTGTTAGAAGCATATGCTTAGAATTTTATGTTTAGAATTTTGTTTGTTAGATGTATATGTTTAGCATTTTGTATGTCAGAAGTATATGTTTAGCATTTTGTATGTTAGAAGTATATGTTTAGAATTTTCTGTGTTAGAAGTATATGTTTAGAATTTTCTGTGTTAGACGTATATGTTTAGAATTTTCTGTGTTAGAAGTATATGTTTAGAATTTTGTATGTTAGAAGTATATATTTAGAATTTTCTGTGTTAGAAGTATATGTTCAGAATTTTGTATGTTAGAAGTATATGTTTCAAATTTTGTATGTTAGAAGTATATGTTTCAAATTTTGTATGTTAAAAGTATGTTTAGAATTTTGTGTCTTAGATGTATATGTTTAGAATTTTCTTTGTCAGATGTATATCTTTAGAATTTTGTATGTTAGAAGTATATGTTTAGAATTTTGTATGTTAGAAGCATATATTTAGAATTTGCTGTGTTAGAAGTATATGTTTAGAATTTTTTGTATTAGAAGTATATGCTTAGAATTTTGTATGATAGAAGTATATGTTTAGAATTTTGTATGTTAGAAGTATATGTTAGAAGTATATGTTTAGAATTTTCTGTCTTAGAGGTATATATTTAGAATTTTCTGTCTTAGAAGTATATGTTTAGAATTTTCTGTCTCAGAAGTATATGTTTAGAATTTTGTATGTTAGAAGTAAATGTTTGGAATTTTCTGTCTTAGAGGTATATATTTAGAATTTTCTGTCTTAGAAGTATATGTTTAGAATTTTCTGTCTCAGAAGTATATGTTTAGAGTTTTCTGTGTTAAATGTATATGTTTAGAGTTTTCTGTGTTAGATGTATATGCTTAGAACTTTCTGTCTTAGGAGTATATGTTTAGAATTTTCTGTCATAGAAGTATATGTTTAGAATTTTGTATGTTAGAAATATATGTTTAGAATTTTGAATGATTGAAATATATGTTCAGAATTTTGTATGTTAGAAGTATGTGATTAGAAATTTGTTTGTTAGAAGTATATGCTTAGAATTTTGTATGCTTGAGGTATATGTTTAGAATTTTGTGATAAAATTATATGTTTAGAATTTTCTGTGTTAAAAGTATATACTTTACTCATCACGTTCTACTTATGTTTCAGATAAATCTTACAGTCAGCTTGGAACAAACACTAGTGAAGTTCATATTTATTCTTCTAACCCTCAACAACTGGAGCATTCAGTTTCTCCTCTGCATGGACAACCCACTGTTATTGTACAGGGTCCTTCTTCTTGTGTCACAACCTACTCTGTTACTATTGGATGTGGGATTTCACCCTCGTATGTTTCTTCCAGTAAAGTTGAGGGTCTTACTTTTGTCACACCCTCTTCTACATCTTTGGTGTCTCAGCCAGCTCTTGCAGTCCCAACAAAAAGGTCTTTTATTAGTACAGAAACTTCATGCCACAATAACCAAGAGACTTGTGTCAGTTCTACTGGAGATAGGAATGAGGTGAAACGACCACGGGCTGAAGAAGCAGCTATCTTTAGCACTTGACTAGAGTAAAAGTATTTACTTCCCACCTGATTCTTACTTAATTCTTGCTACATTTAGAATCTTCACTTTTTATCCAATGAAATTCTTCTCTAGCTGTGAAAATGTTACAATGGCAGATCTGTTGTATGATTAAAAATTAATCCACAGATCATGTAGTCTGATGCTCTGTTAAGCCACAGATTATGCAGTCTGATGATCAGTTAAACAACAGATCATGTAGTCTGATGATCAGTTAAATCACAGATAATATAGTCTGATGATCAGTTAAGCCACAGATTATGTAGTCTGATGATCCATTAAATTACATGCTATTTTAACTGAACCCAGTTACAAAAGTTACAGAAATTATTTGGGAGATTTTAGTGACCATTTGAAGATCCATGAATTGGAGAAACTGGGAATTTTCAGTATTTCTTACCTTTGTAAGGTATATATCTTGTAAACAACATTGTTTTATTTTATGTCATGTAGAAATACTGTTATTGTTATATAGTGAAATTCCATTAAAAATATTATTCTGATGTTGTCATACAAGTTGTGAAGGCAAGAACATTGCATAATAATTCAAAAACATTTGTGTATTAAGAAGTCTAATAAAATAACCTGTGTAAGTGACGAACCCCCACACATGCATTGTATTGTGTGAATAATGTGTGTATTTATGTAACAACCTCACCAAAAAGTGTTTAATTCATATTGTAGCACTGAAAATGTTATATTGGTAATGGAATTATATTTTAGAATGTAAAATTTATTGTTTTTGTTTTGATTTTATTCATCACAGTAAGTATGAACAAGAGTTGCCATCATTACTTGAGGTAACCATCTTAGTAATTACATGACATTAATGTCTTTAAAGTATGTTTCTTCTTGGTAACATACCTTCATTTTTACTACCTAATTTTACTTTCACTATGACAGTAGGCTTAAACTAAAAACAGAATATAAAATCACCAGGATATCATTGATATGACAGGATCAACCAGCAGTGAAGTTAAATAATTTGTTTACTTAATGTAATCCATCAAATGACAGACTATAAAATCGCCAGGATATCACTGATATGACAGGATCAACCAGAGGTGAAGTCAAATAATTTGTTTACTTAATATAATCCTACAAGTGGCAAACTATAAAATCACCAGGATATCACTGATATGACAGGATCAACCAGCAGTGAAGTCAAATAATTTGTTTACTTAATATAATCCATCAAGTGACAGACTATAAAATCACCA